CATTGCCGAGAATTGCACGCAGTGGAAAATCGAACGGGGAGGGCAGAAATTCCTGCTCCATCGCGGCCAGGCGGGCCTTGGAGAAGTGAAGGGAAGGCTGCGAGGGCGGCGGGTAGGTGAAGTCGGGATCGGCGTCGAGGCCAAAATCGCTTGGCTCGTAGATGTAGTCGGCGTCCTCTCCAGTGCCCATTGTCTCGAGGGTGCCAGAAGGAAATCTGGGGACAAGGCAGGGGTCAAGAGTAATGTTATAGTTGTTAGCCATGGTGTTGAGGCGACGCACCAGAGTCCCATCGCCCTTATATCCCTCGCAGCCGGTACGGTGACGTCGGATCGCCCTTGTCTTGCCCTTATCTCATCACCTGAGTGGAGCAGGTGGAGTTAGTGACCCCCAGGGCATTTGGGGTTTGATGCGTAGTGGTGAGGATTCAAGATGCGCGCTGCGAGACGTTGAGCAGCGCACGACGCGTTGCCGATGGTGGTGAGAAGAGAGTGTGACAAGGACACGGGAAGTGACTGGAAGTAACGTCGTCCCAAAACGGTTGACATCTCAAAAATTCACACGTGGAGCTCAACTCTTTTCAAAAAATCCTAAGCGCGTTTCATTGAAAAAAAACATTGATTTTGGGGACTGCAAATACACACTAATGGGTCCTGACTCCAGAGGAAGCATTTGAAATGGAAATATAGAAACTTGCTATCTCGTTCTCGTGAGGTGCCCTCCAAGAGGCTCGGGCCAAGCATATATGTACATTTTGGGTTAATACTTTAGGGCTTTGTCGCGGTTCAGTTATTACGGAGGGAGTTTTTTTCAAGCACCTTGACGTAACATCACGTTGGATTCTGAACTGCCATCACATCATTTGATTGACAACGTGAAAGTTCTTTTGCCTTCCTTCGTTCGTCGAGCCGGGCAGCGGCACCGCTTGGAATCTCGTGCGATGCCGCCGCAGCACTAAGTATAGGTCCACCGATGTTGCTGCTGAGATTGGTTGTGTCCGTGGACGTACATACTGGTACTACTGGATCGTTCAAGGCAACGGGTCCAGGAGCAATTCCGCACTCGTGCGATTCTCAAATATTGAAGCTCAGACCGGCACTACTGTGGACGTATACATGCGCGCCTATCTGTTGACCTGGCTTCTGGAAGCCCGAAGGTGTGAATTTCTCCACAGCTTTGCTGCGCGCCGTGGATTTTCCAAGTTTCTTCTCTCCCACTCTCTTTCACCCCACAAAACCAAGGCCATGGAGCTTCCTGTAAATATTATGACTACACCAGCGATGGTGGCTCAAAGGTATATCATCGACGGCATCTAGCGAACCTGCTGGTTAATGCTCATTTGTGGCAGCCCGCAATTGTTTCAAAATGCGGCTGGATTCGAAATCGTCGGTGGACAATTCGTTCTTGGAGATGTACATAACCACACAAATGTGAGTAGCTTGGTTCGTACCCGTTATGTTCTTTTACCAAGGTATATTTATTGCAGAGAGGTCCAGTACTGCCCAGTTTACAACCCTTTTTGAGCACCTGGGATGAAAATTTGTCGGCAAGCGAAATCTACTGCCACCAGCTGCTCGGTCAGAAACGCGGATATCCTCTTTATGTACCAGAGCCGCAACAAAATCTCCCTGTGGCGTACCGAAGACGTGGTGTCGCGATCGGTGATGTGGGGAGGGTCACACCAGATGGAATATTCGATTTTTTCTTCAACATCTTCCTTCCTCCGGACCATCCTATCAATGCGAATCACACACCGCAAGACTTTTCCCCGATGCCATCCTATGACTCAGTCGACATCCTGCACGAAAAGTACTGTCCTGGGGACTACGTCTCAAGCTCCACTGTTCAGAATATAGATCTTGATACTCCATCAGAGTGAGTAATGCATAGTCGAGTGCATGCGATAAGACTCAGTCCGTTATATCTAGCCAATTCCTGGAGGCGATTTTGTTTTCAGCTGCGATAATCCTCAAGGGGCCGTTCTCGCGCTGCCGGACGGGGCGTACCTTCAAAAGCTCGAGAACCTCGAGAACATGCGGACATATGCTGCGAAACACGCTGATAGCTGGTACACATATATAAACGGCGCAAGGGGTCGTGGCCTTGAAAACGGGGATCTTTATCTCGTCACTGGCTGTGAAAAAGCTCGGTCGTGGGGGATTGCGTCATACCGCACTTCCCGCGAAGAGTTCGAGCTTCGCTTTAAGCCCACCGCCAATGCCGGCACTGTTTACGAACCATACCGCTGGAGCGGCACCCGTGGCCGGAGAAATCCTGCCAAGAGAAAAAGCTATGATCCCCCACCGACAGATGACCCCCCTTTAAATCAGACCACATTCATACACGGGTGGTCCATTTCTCTGCCAACAGGACTTTGGGGCAAGCTGTTTGGGATTGTAGAAACTTCATCCATTGTAGATTTTCAATCTCGATCGAATACAAAAGGTGGTCCTCACCCGGTGAGTTCGCAAAGATTTTCGTGCTGGTGGTCCTGGAGTCCATTTGGGGGTGGCGGCGCAACTGGATGAAACCATCATGCCGCACAAAACGGTAGCGTCGTTTTATCTGATTTATCTCCAACTGCCAAGGTGCCACGTTTTTAAAATCTTCCAAGATTATCTACCAACCTTTTCCATGGCCAGGTCTTGAATCCTGCAAAACTAATCAACCAATATATACTACACACTCAGGTCTCGCACGCGACCGTTGTTATGACCCACGACGATGATTGGCGCGATATCTTAGGAGATGTACGTTTTCCCCAACTTTTGCTTATTTTCTACTGATGCAACCTGCAGGATTCCGAAATGCTTAACTCAGCAGAATTGTTCCAACGAATCATTGACGAATTTACTATCACGGAGAAACATGGTTAGCACTGAAGCCTCTTTCACTCAGTGGTCTTACTCGCACAATCAGGTGCCACTTTTCTTGTATCCAAGCTAGTAAATTCACTTGCGGATAACGTTCCGGCCTTTGTCGCCCCAGAAACCCCAGATACGTTTACGGCTGGAGCATCGTCGGAGATCAATTTCTCGGATAGTTTCCACGAGGAATTCGGTCACTCAAGGAGCCCACCGGGGGCCCATTTGTCGAATTTTTACCACAAAGACTTGGTGGGCCCGCAGAGTCTCGATGGTTATGATCAAGGGTTCAACGAGTCGGCCACATCAGAGTCTATGGCCCTCTCTTCTTCCCCCATATCCATTCCTTTTCCCCGCCCACAGTCTGTATCGTTCCGTGGGTTCGGCGAGCAATCTGCCCAGGATTCACCCTTTTTGCCACCAGCCCTTGTTGCTTCTATTTCCTTGCCGTGGTCGCCTACCACATTATTTTCCCACGAGTATCCCTCCCACGCGATTCCGAGACCAGTACCGCGCCGTCTGGGAACGCCTGCATCTGATATGGCTTTCCCCTCGATGGACTTGGACTGGTCGCAACGGAGAGCGGAGTGGCAGCCCCTTGCACAACAGCCTACCTGTACAAACCTTCGCATCGGGTCCGTGGAGGATGCGCACAAAATCTTCTTTGCCATTCGCAGGTCGGGTCGTTTCAGCCTCTGCCGGGGATGAATTCTGAAGCCTTTTTCGCAGGGGCTTATTGACTATGGTCTCACGAAGACTGAATTCGGATGAGCGAGCAGCCCTGCACACTGGCTGTGTATTCGCTTGGGAGGAACGAAGCCCAAGTACCGAGATTACCGATGTTGGCATTGAGCGTTGGACCGATTCGAGACGCTGGGGCCCATCACGAGTGCGGGATGTGTGTACATTGCATTACTCGGCATCTCTGTCTAGCCCGTTGAATTCTCCCACAGGAATTTTTGTTCTACTTTGAAAAAGACTCCGATGCGCTGTCTTAGTGAGCATTCAGTGTAGCAGTCTTGACGATTTCTTACACACATGGCAGTGACCTCCAGCCTGTCGGAGGGGAGCAGCTTATTAAACAAACTTATTGCGCGTGGGTGGAAACGGAAAAGGGAAGGAGAAAATGGCATTTAAGTACATCCAAAAAACTCTCATTCACATTCCTGCGCTGACTTGCCTACAGTCTCATATTTCACGGAAGCAACCGTAGGAGAGTTGGGTACAGTGGATGACATACCAGATGTTCACCAACTCGAGGTACCGGCCGGAATGTTCACGAGTGCGCGCATGAGCAAAAGAAAGAACACCGACACCAAAGTAACCGCCCAGGCCTTCCCTTCGCCTTCGCCATTGCCTGCCCTGGCCCCTCGTCCAGTAAAATGTCGGCCATCAACCTCCCATTCCGAACCGCTCTGGTTAGCATGGTGACCGTAACACGCCGCTCATCGCGCTATGTTATCGCGCATATCAATTACCATTTTGCAACTGAAATCTAGCGTTGTGATATTTAACAGACTCCTGTATGTCGTCGAGATTATCTTAAATATATGTTTCCGAGTGTTCTTACAGTTCTTTTCCCAACTACACTCACTTCATTCCTTGTATTTTTCCCAACCGAAAGTTTGACTCGCACAACGAGACGCGGCACATCGGAGGTCATCTGCTCTCCGACATCCACGAACACTCTCGCACTTACGTTGGCACTATCCTACAGGTTGATCCACATGCATGTCTCATTCTATCTGTAAATCAAAACGTCCACCGCGCAAGTTCGGGCGTCGGCCAACAAGTACCCATCGAGAGATGTCGAGGGATTGGATTTTGATTTGGTGAAGCGTCTATTTGGGAGACGAATTTTCTCACGGTTTGAATGCCTGAAATAGGCTGAAAATACACCATTATTCCGTGCATGTCTCGACGTCCATATCACTGGTTAAAACGTAGGGCATTACGCATCGAGTTATGCCGAGACATCGGATTTTGAACGATGGAGAGTACATCACAGAGAGCAGCGGTGCACCATGCGCCATGCACCACGTCTGCTTTCCCTCATGTTCCTGAAATTCTGTAAGTGAGGTGGAGAAATGGACTAGAATTGCGAGTGAGAGAGTAAAAAATGAGATGTCCAAGAGGCATGCGGAGGCAGGGAGTCGAACCCCGATTGCTGCTTAAGTTTGTGGTGGTCTGCCTATACAGAGCAGCGGTGCACCATGCACCACATCCGCTTCTTACACTAGTTCACTTCTCCCAATGAGTGAGAGTGAGAGTAAAAAAAATGGTTAGAACTGTGAAAAAGGATGCAGCCCAAAAATGCGGACAAAGGGAGTCGAACCTCGAGCCCTTGTCTTAGTGTGAGTGAGAGAAAAAATGGTTAAAGCTGCTAATGACCAAAAAGGATCTGCTCTCGCAAGAATACGGACATGGGGAGTCGAACTCCGATAACTGCCTCCCCGGACGGAATAATGTGCATGCAATGCAGCAGTGCGTCTTGCACCACGTTTGCTTCCTTCCCTTGTTCACTTCTACTTACCGGTGAGAGGTGAAATGAATTTGAACTGTAGCACAAAAACCTAGTCGAGGAATACGCATGTGAGGAGTCGAACCCCGGGAGCTGCTTCACTGATTCATCGGAACTCCAACAAAGGCAGCAGTGCACCGTGCACCACATCCGCTTTCCAGGCTCCATTCCTACTCTGTATGAGTGAGACTAAAAAATGGATTTGAGTGACCAAAAAGCATGGATAGCCTGAAGAATGCGGAGGTGGGGAGTCGAACCCCGGCAGTTGCTTTACTCCTCTCTCAATGTCCCAATAAAGGCAGCAGTACTCCGTGCACATCCACTTCTTGGACTTGTTCCTGCTTTGCGTGAGTGAGGGGAAAAAAATTAGAGCTGCGAGTGACCAAAAATAATTAAAGCTGAAGCGGATGCGGACGCGGGGAGTCGAACCCCGGGAGCTGCTTACGTTTCTAGTCCATGTCTCAATAAATTCAAGACAGCAGTGCACCGTGCACCACATCCGCTTTCTAGCCCAGTTCATTACCAGTGTGAATGAGAAGAAAAAACCAGATTACTTAGAACTGTGGCCAAAAAGAATGACAAGAAACTAGCATATGCGGACGTGGGGAGTCGAACCCCGGCAGCTGCTTTACTCCTCTCTTTCAATGTCCTAATAAAGGCAGCGGTGCACCGTGCACTACGCCCGCTTCCTGACCTTGTTCATTCCCTGTCTTAGTGAGAAAAAATTGTTAGAGCCGCGAGTGACCAAAAGAACCAAAACTGAAAGGAACACGGACACGGGGAGTCGAACCCCGGGAGCTGCTTACACTATACATCTTACTGCCTCAATAAAGGCAGCGGTGCACCGTGCACCACGTCCACTTTCTACCTTCTCCTGAAATTCGGTAGGTGAGACAGGAAAAAAATGGAGAAAGACAAAACAAAAAACAAAAACGTCAGAAGATGCCCACGCGGATGCGGGGAGTCGAACCCCGAAGCTGCTTCACAGTGCACAACATGTCCAACAAATAAAGAGCAGCAGTGCACCGTGCACCAGATCTGCTTCCTATGCCAGTTCACTTCTTCCAACAGGTGAGAGCAAAAAGAAAAAGAAAACTGGTTTGAACTGCGAGAGAGAGACATAAAAAGATTAGACACATAAACAATATATGCAGACGCGGGGAGTCGAGCCCCCTATTGCTGCCCAACTCTTCTTTGAAAACTTGAATAGAGAGCAGCAGTGCGCCGTGCACCACATCCGCTTTCTACCCCCAGTTCATTACCAGTGTGAATGAGAAGAAAAAACCAGATTACTTAGAACTTAGAACTGTGGCCAAAAAGAATGACAGAAAACCAACATATGCGGACGTGGGGAGTCGAACCCCGGGAGCTGCTTACACTTTCCGTTTTACTGTCCGAATTAAAGGCAGCAGTGCACCGTGCACCACGTCCGCTTGTTACTCTTCTCCAGAAATTTTGTAAGTGAGACTGAAAAAAATTGAGAAAGAAAAAAAACAACATTTGAAGATTAATTTGAAGGCCCATGCGGACGCGGGGAGTCGAACCCCGGGAGCTGCTTACACTTTCCGTTTTACTGTCCGAATTAAAGGTAGCGGTGCACCGTGCACTACGCCCGCTTGTTGCCCTCCTCCGGAAACTCTATAGGTGAGACAAAAAAATTGAGAAAGACAAAAAAACAAAATAACATGAGGAGAAGCCCACGCGGATGCGGGGAGTCGAACCCCGGGGGCTGCTTATGTTTTTGGGTGCTGTAACCTACTTAATCAAGGCAGCGGTGGACCGTGCACCACGTCCGCTTTCCGACCTTGTTCCTTCCTTCGGTGAGTGAGAGCAAGAAAAAAAAGTTTAGAGCCGCGAGTGACCAAAAAAAAAATGAGTGTCAAGCGAGCAAATATGCAGACACGGGGATCGAACCCTAGCAACTGCTTTATTGTTCTAGACACGTCTCACAATAAAGGCAGCGGTACCAATCCACTTCTTACACCAGTTCACTTCTCTGTGTGAGTGAGACAAAAAAAAGGATTCGAACTGTGAGCAACCAAAAAGAACAGATGTTGCACACTCATGCGGACGCAGGGAGTCGAACCCCGGGAGCTGCTTACATTTTACATCTTACTGCCTCAATCAAGGCAGCGGTGCATGCACCACGTCCGCTTTCTACCCTCTCCTGAAACTCTATAAGTGAGACAGAAAAAAATGGAGAAAGACAAAAAAAAAACGTCTGAAGAAAACCGAGGTACGCGGACGCAGGGAATTGAACCCTAGCAGCTGCTTTACTATTTAATTCCCCTGATAATGAAGGCAGCGGTGCACCGTGCACCACATCCGCTTCCTACATCTTGAGGGATAATAGGATAGGTAGGTCTTTTTTCTTTGAGCTTTGCAGAGTGGGCGTTGATAAAACACGGGAATTGGAACAAGCCTGAGAGCCCCGCATTTCTTCCGCACGCGTGGGTGAGCGGGAGTCTAAATGCGATGGGGTCCCACGACGCGGGGTCAGTCGGGAAGAATCGAGATGGTGGCAGAACAAGAACGAGAAGAATGCCGTAACTTGTACTTTATGTTTGTCGTCTCCCTCTAGCCTTATCCTCAAACACCCTTGCTTGCTACTCCCCCTAAGCCCTACGACAAGACCCAAAACCAAAAAATGCGCTTCCGGACGCTCGAAATCCGGTGGCACGACTCCAAGCCGATCTCGTCGTGCGACTTCCAGCCCGTGCCCTTCAAAAAGGCGCGCCCGCCTCCAGGGAGCGCGCCCAGCGCCTTTGCGGCGCAGGCGTATAGGCTTGCGACGGCGGGGGAGGACAACCATGTGCGCGTGTGGATGGTGTATCCGAATATCCGCCCGCTCGACCTTGAGGGAACGGGGGAGGTGGCACCGAGGCCGGCGCGCGTGGAGTACCTGGCGACGCTGAGCCGGCACTCGGCTGCGGTGAATGTGGTGCGGTTCTCGCCGAATGGTGCGCGTCGAGTCTCTTCCTTCTTTCGATAGAATGAAGTAGTGACGCCGCCGTGCAGGCGACCTCATCGCGTCCGCGGGTGACGACGGGATGGTCATCATCTGGGCGCCGTCCGCCACACCGCAGACCAGGTTCGTCTCCCTCTTTCTCTTTCACAAATAGACTTCATGTAAATAACACCTTCGCCACAGCCCGTATGGCTCGGACCTCTCCCCGGACGACCTGCAGCACGAGAAGAAGTGCTGGAAGCCGCGCACCACGTTTAGATACGACGATACAGGTGTACGACGACCGTGATTCTCGCCGTCGCAATGACCATCTCCGCGGCCCTAGTTACTCCCCGCGACTTTATCGTGCGTTCATGACAAAATTCAACTGCAATTGATATTTAATTTCTTTTTTTGTAGAAGAGCATACCGCAGGGATCGATCCCCGAGTTACTGCCTGGAGCTGTGGGCCGTAACATTGAGGTACATTTACTATGTTCTGGCCCAGTCGACACGCTGCTCACCTCGTCTTTCTAGGGTCCAATAATAAGTGCGATCGGGTCCCTTTTCGCCACTTTTCTCTTTCAGCCAGCCCCGACACGCTCGCCCCAGGGGCCGTAATCCTTTCGTATGTTCACTATGTTCTACGTCAGTCAATACGCTGCTCATACCGTTTTTCCGGCAGCGCTCAATAATAAGTGCGATCGAGTCCCACTTGGCCACCGCCACTTTTCATCCAGCCGTCCCGACGCCAACGTTCGACCTCGGGAGCATTCCAATCGGACATCTCCCCGAATTGCCTCCTAATGGCGTTCCCCTCGATCCATTGGTTCCCGTAAGTCACAGCCGTTCCCAACCTTCCCGAAATTAAGATTGACATGTATTGCATTGTTCCGCATTGCTCTTAGGCCCCAACTCCTTCGGAGGCTCCGGCTCAGACAGAACCTGCGGCCCTCCCCATACCAGACGCCCCGTGCCCCTCCAGAAAAGCCCCGCACTGATAAAGCAGTACTGATCTCCATACTTATACCCGCCCGGTTTCCTTCGCTGGCAGACGAAAGAGGAGTCTGAATGGTCCTTGGCAGATGTGAGGCCAAGTCGACTTAACGAGTCACGACTCGACTTCGCGAGTCGCGGCAATATTAGTGGCTGAACTATCTGCAGTCACTGAGCTCAAGGTCGCGCCGTCCTGCTGCCTCGTTCCGGAGCTTTCTGTCAAGGAGGATGATGGGCTCATGGACATGCTCGGCAGAACTGGTGAAGAGGTTGCTAGGAAGGCCACAGACGTGCACAATTGCGTGGTGGCACACGTCAAAGTTCTCGGGCGACCCGAGTGGCGCCATCTAATTAAGAGTCATCAAATAGATTTTAGATTGGGAGGGGAGAATACAACGCACCCGGACGATGTCACCGAAGACATGGTAATCGACAGGAGTAGGTTCCTGCGAGTAAACTTCAACGGTGTGGGTGGTACGTGCGGGTTAGACGTGCAGACAATCAGAAAAACATAAGGAGGCGAGCAATATTTTGAATACGCATATCCACACCATATGCCCCAGGTGTGACCGTTCAAATGGGGGAAAGTGAAATTGACGCCAGGTGACGCCATGTGACGCCCTTGACGCCGGGGGGCGTCAATGGGGCGTCACTCGTTAAATGTTTCTCCATTTCCGGGGGCGCAGCCATTATTCAATCATTGTGTTAGGTTGTACTTCAATAATAAAGACCTTTGACCTATACTCAACACACAGAATGTACCAGTATGCCTGTAAAATCTCAAGATTTACCTCAGTGGGGCGTCAAGGGCGTCAAAGGGCGTCAATGCGGCGGCAGTGGGGCGGCCAAGGGCGTCAATGGGGCGTCGGTGAGGTGGCAAAGGGCGTCAAGGGGGGGCGTCAGTAAGGCGTCAAGGGGGCGTCAATGCAACTTTGAGGGGCGTCAGTCAAATTGCGTGACAGGCGGCAATGTGACATGGGGGCGTCAATTGGCGAGTGGTGGCGGCAATGGTCAAAAAGTTGTACTGACCAAAACACCCTTCCAAGTCCGAGGTTACACTAATTCAAGCCAGGTGCAAGGTCAAACCTGCAGGATGAGCTCAAATGCTTACCCGATGCCGACTTCAACTGTGATTCAACTTCGGTTCAAGTTTAACATTGGATTATATAATTGCTTCATGCTTACTACATTGCAGCATTCGAACCGGCCACTCATCTACCACCAAAAAAATCATCGTCCCATCGCAGTGGCGTTCAGTGCACGCGGGATGCACAATCAAAAGGCCGTTGATTGGAGAAAGTGGGAAACAGTTATTTATTCCAAGGACTTGAATGAAATAATGCTCTAAGATCCTATTTACATGTCTCATTGATTATTTGACGAGACTGTAGACATACAAGTCCTCCGGTGCAGCAGTTGGGCCGGCCTCCGTGCATCCTGATCACTGACTATTTTTTGAATATCTCATTAGAGACACAAACTGAGAGAGTGTCTTGCCCGGATGGTATATCATATGTCTATTGTGTTTATATTAGCGCCATTATCTCGAAAGACATTTTTTCTGCTTGGTTATAAGGGCGGCAGTTGAAGTGTGACGTGACATGGGGGCGTCAATCTTCCTGTGAGGGGCGTCACACGGGGCGTCAGGGGCGTCAGAATGGCGGCACTGGCGTCACAGTGGCGTCACTTTCACTGACCCGCGTTCAAATGTGCCCGTGTCGCTAACGCTTACTGAGTAATCGCGATTGAAAATTGGTTTCAGGCCCTGGTTCCGACTGATTTTTATTGACATTCCAAAAGCCATGTACCTCTACAGCACCAGGAAGATATCATGTAGGTATCGATGTATTTTTGAAAATTCCAGTTCTCCCTCTTCTACGGCCCTGTGCTTGTTCGTATAGCCTTCCTCCATGGGCACTGGATCCTGCAGACAGGATCTGTCCCTTCAACGTCAGCTGCTCGAAAATGTTTGTCAAGTGTAGGCCACAAAACAGCTCTCCACTCGTTGTTGTTAGCATCCCAGCCCCGCGCCAGATATTCATATGGCGGGATGCAAGTGACGACGGGACTGGCTGAGGATCGTTGAACGAGTTTCGTGATAGACGCTGGGACCCAGGCTCGCTGTTTATTTAAACCGGAAGCACCTTGATTTTGCACTTGCACGATCGAAAGAGATATGGTTCCCGGTTTGTGTTCCTCCATTTTGGCTGTGGCTGAACGTGGATATTAGTCGGTCAGGTGTAATCCTGTTGGTGCGGCGGCACGACTTTGGAAGGACTTACTTTGCGGGGCGTTCAAAGATCCTGTACCCAGCTCGATCTCTTCCTGTTCGTATATGGAAAGCTCTTCTTCCGTCCTAATGTTGTTGAGGTGATTCTGGAAGTGGAATAATTTAGCGTCGTGCTCGAGAAACAGATTGGACTGACACTCATCAGCACCATGATTCCACGTATTCGCGCCTTCGACGTTGGATCCGAAACCCAAATTAACACCTGATTGCGATTTATGAACGATATTTGCGGAAGCGGTTTTTTTGAACCCTTGAGTGGTTGGTAAATGGTCAGTTAGGGAAACTCAAAAATCTTGGCCACCACTTGCCGCTGGTCGAAGATTGATCCCCATGCCTATTTTCACTTCTAAGGGGTGGAACTCGCGCCGTTCAGTATCCAATCGTATGTCCTGCACCTGGTAAACAATATTATATGAAAAATACGATTTGTTGTCTTTGTCCCATTCGTCTCCAGTTTCGTAATCCACACGGCACCTGGGCATAACCTTGACCAGATTGATTTAGCAACAGAAAAAACAGTAGCTGCCTTACTTTGCTGTCAGTGGCCTCCATCGTGACATCGTTGTTCAGATTGTACGAGAACGTCGCAGTCGCCAAGGGACTGCCCTGGGAGATTCCCAGATTAGTTTCAATTCCCCGTTGATATTGCCGATGTTGCCCGTGTTTGTAAAGTTTGTCTGGGAGGTCAAACCCTCGATGCACACTGGGTTGGTGTTAATATACGTCCAGATTCCGCCAAGAAATAATTACAATTCGTGGTCAATAATCGATTCCCTTCGATGCGACACAAAGCCGATGTTTGCGTAGGAGCGATCGACTTGAGTTTCACGCAGCCGGGTTCCAATTTTGAGATCAACTAGAGCAATGACTTCAGGCCGGGATAAAGGACGGGTCAGGTTATCGAGATCAATGGGTATTTCCGCTTCCCGATTGATTATGAACTAAGGGAAATTATTAGATGGTAATAAAATCTCAAATGCATCCCACTTTGAAAGTGTAACCAATTGTCACCGTGTATGTATGAGCCGTGTTGAGTTTGAGGTGAAGTTTGACAAGCGTTCTGTGTAGCGGACTTTCCCATTTACCATTCACCGTA